GCAACATCCACTTCCAGGGTTCAAGTGATTCTCCTGCCTCAGCCTCCTGAGTAGCTGAGATTACAGGCATGCACCACCACACCCAGCTAATATTAAGTCTTCCAACCCAGGAACACAAGATGTCTTTACACTTATTTATATCTTTAATTTCATTTAACAATGTTTTGTGATTTTTCAGTGAACAAGTCTCTCTTTTCCTCAGTTAAGTTTATCCCTAAGTATTTTGCTCCTCTTGATGCTATTGTAAATGGAATTGTTTTCTTATAAGTGTACATTTTGGCTGGGCACAGTGGCTCATGCCTATAATCCCAGCACTTTGGGAGGCTGAGGCGGGTGGATCACCTGAGGTCAGGAGTTCAAGACCAGCCTGGACAACATGGTGAAACCCTGTCTCTACTAAAAAGACAAAAATTAGCTGGGTATGGTGGTGTGTGCCTATAATCCCAGCTACTCAGAAGACTGGGGCAGGAGAATCACTTGAACTCGGAAGGTGGACGTTGCAGTGAGCTGAGATCATACCACTGCACTCCCGCCTGGGCAATACAGCAAGAGTGTTGTGCCTGTAATCCCAGCAACTAGGGAGGTTGAAGCAAGAAAATTGCTTGAAGCGGGGAGGTTCAGGTTATAGTGAGCCGAGATCATGCCACTGCACCCCAGCCTGGGCAATAGAGCAAGACTGTCTCAAAAAAAAAAATAAAAGAATCAGGCATGTAAGTAAACCAATAGTGGAGAGGTGATAGTATAAGTATTGAAAGGGCACAGATTTGTTATAACAGAGGTAATAACTAAGGCTGTCTGAGATGGATTCTGTCAGGGAAAGTAGCAGAGTAGTGCTGGGATGCCTATGCAAGATTTCAAAGAAAACAAGATGAAAGGACATTCTAGCAGACCCATGAAGCTTAAAGACACAAAATGAAAACTGATGTTTGGGCAACTAGAAGCAGGCAACATCACTAGTGTGTAAAATTCAAGGCAAGTAATCGATTATGAAGGGAGATGCTGAGTATTTTGGCCTTTGTCATATAAGTAAAATGGGAATCTATTGAAGACTTTCTCTTTTTTTTTTCCTGTGTGTGTGTGTGTGCATGTGTAATTTTTTTCTTTTTAGAGATAGGGTCTCACTATGTTGCCCAGGCTGGTCTGAAACTCCTGGGCTCAAGCAATCCTTCTGTCTCAGCCTCCCAAAGTGCTGGAATTACATGTGTGAACCACAAGGCCCAGCCAATTTTCTAGCATATACTGCATATCACTGTACACAAGGATATATATGTATTTTTAATAGACACGATTCTGACAGCAGGACATTCCCTGGATAGAAGGAAAAACATTTAAATAAATAATAACTCATAACTGCTCCTTTTAATATACATCACTAGCAAAATAATGACTTCTATTTATCTTGTTTTCTTATTATTCACTGGGCACACACACAAATGGATATTTCTAAGACTAGACTGTTGGCCAGGCATGGTGGTGCATGCCTGTAATCCCAGCACTTTGGGAGGCTAAGGCAGGAGGATCGCTTGAGCCAAGAGTTCAAGACCAGCCTTAGCAACATAGTGAGATCCCATCTCTATTTTTTTAAATGTATATTTTCAATTAAAATAAATAAATAAACTAAGACTAGACTGTCATGTTTATTATGACAGCTGAGCATGAATACAACTTTTGGTCAATTCATAAAAATTAAATATCGCAGACTTCTGCTCCTTTTGATATGGAAGTTGATGAAGAGCCTGCTGGGTTTCTGGCACCAACGCTTATTACTACAACAACAGTTGTACTTCTAGGTGGACTGGTATTTGTCAAATTTTTGATGCAAATGAATGATGAACACATATGGAATCCATATAGAAAACTTTTGAAGAATAAGGACAAATTACCTTCCTCTTAAAACTTTTTTTCTTCTTTCCTTGGTTTTTTTTTTTTTTTTTTTTTTGAGACAGGATCTTGCTCTATCACCCAGGCTGCAGTGCAGTGATGCAATTTGGTTTACTGCAGCCTCGAGCTCCCAGGCTCATGTGATCCTTCACCCTTGGCCTCCGAAAGTGCTGGGATTACAGGTGTGAGTCACCATGTCTGATCTTAATTTTTTTTTATAAAAACCTGAACAATGAAAAGAACAGAGAATGGATCATAGTAATTCCAATTGCAATGTTCATTCCCTAGAAGCATTTTATTTTACTTATTTTTTAAGGCAGAGTTTCTCGTCGCCAAGGTTGGAGTGCAGTGATGCAATCTCGGCTCACTGCAACCTCTGCCTCCCAGGTTCATGTGATTCTTCTGCCTCACCCTCATAAGTAGTTGAGATTACAGGCATCTGCCACCACATCTGGCTAATTTTTCTATTTTCAATAGAGACAGGGTTTCACCATGTTGGCTAGACTGGTCTCAAACTCCTGACTTCAAGTAATCCACCTGCCTCGGCCTCCCAGAGTGCTGGGATTACAAGAATGAGCCACTGTGCCCAGCCTATTTTTTTATTTGTTGAGACAGAGTTTCACTCTGTTGCCCAGGCTGGAGTGCAGTGGTGTGATCTCGGCTCACTGCAATCTCTGCCTCCCAGGTTCAAGTGATTCTCCTGCCTCCTGAGTAGCTAGGGTTACAGGCACACACCACCATGCCTAGCTAATTTTTGTATTTTTAGTAGAGATGGGGTTTTGCTATGTTGGCCAGGCTGGTCTTGAACTCCTGATCTCTAGCAATCCGCCCACCTTGGCCTCCCAAAGTGCTGGGATTATAGGCGTGAGCCACCACACCCAGCCCCCTAGAAGCATTTTCTATATTTATTATTATTAATAGTTTGATAGAGATAGGATCTTACTTTGTTGCCCAGACTGCTCTTAAACTCCTGGGCTCAAGCAGTGATCCACCCGCCTCAGCCTCCCAAAGTGCTGGGATTACAGGCATGAACCACAGTACCAAGCCTAGCAATATTTTGAATAATTCCCAAACATGCTAACTGAATGACAGACTTCAGGCATTTCTCTGATTTGCTTCGTTCTTTATATTTCCCATTTGTTTTGATCATTGTTAACTAGGAAGATTTGCTTGTCAGCAATTTGTGAGGTAGTTCTTTTTTTCTTTTTTTGAGACAGGGTTTCGCTCTTGTTGCCCAGGCTGGAGTGCAATGGCACAAGCTCGGCTCACCACAACCCCCGCCTCCTGGGTTCAAGCAATTCTCCTGCCTCAGCCTTCTGAGTAGCTGGGATTACAGGCGCGCGCCACCATGCCCAGCTAATTTTTTGTATTTTTAGTAGAGATGGGGTTTCACCATGTTGACCAGGATGGTCTTGATCTCTTGACCTCATGATCCACCTGCCTCAGCCTCCCAAAGTGCTGGGATTACAGGCATGAACCACTGTACCAAGCCTAGCAATATTTTGAATAATTCCCAAACATGCTAACTGAATGACAGACAGACTTCAGGCATTTCTCTGATTTGCTTTGTTCTTTACAAGTATATTTCCCATTTGTTTTGATCATTGTAAACTAGGAAGACTTGCTTGTCAGCACTTTGTGAGGTTGTTTTTATGTATAAAGGAATCAACTGTGAATAGCAGTGATTTCCAAGCTGTTAGTTTGTGGCTGCTCCAGCTTTCATGTAAAATTATGTTTCTTTTCTGATATGTTCCCAGTGTCATTATGTTAAGGGTATGATAAGGGAAACTTCAACATTTGTCAAAGACTCTCCTTAGATCAAAACCTCAGTCAGGCTCCTGAGTCCTCCCTGCACTAGGTCTGACCTTAGGCTTCTTTCTCTGCCCTATTGAATCCAATTTGAGCAAGAATCCTGATAAATTGGGTTTCGTGAAAATCTTCCATGCTTATGTCTGACCAGCCTTCACATTTTATCACCCTGATCTGCCTTTAGCAATAATCCTATAAGTCGGTTTAGCCAGAAACCCCTTATCCTTTATGTTTCTTCTTAGTAATTTTCCACCCACTCCCACCCTGCTCCTTGGTGATAAATCCTCACTCATCCTTGTTGGAGTCAGAGTTGAGTGCAATCGCTCTCCCCTACTGTGAGACCCCATTGCAATGGTCCTTATACCTGTCACCATGGCTCCCTTTGAATAAAGTCTGCCTTATTATCTTTAATAGTGTCATGAATAATTTTTCTTTAATAATTTTATTACAAATATTACACTGCAAATTAAGTATGTATATAACTTATGAAAATAGGACAAAAGGCCAGGCATGATGGTTCATGGCTGTAATCCCAGCACTTTGGCAGGCCAAGGTGGGTGGATCATCTGAGCCTAGGAATTCAAGACCAGCCCGGTCAACATGGCGAAACCCAGTCTCTACTAAAAATACAAAAAATTCACTGGGCATGGTGGTGGGTGCCTGTAATCCCAGCAATTTAGGAGGCTGAGGCAGGAGAATCACTTGAACCCAGGAGGTGGAGGTTGCAATGAGCTGAGATCCCACCATTGCACTCCAGCCTGGGAAACAAGAGCAAAACTCAGTCTCAAAGGAAAAAAAAAAAAAGAAAGAAAATAGGCCAAAAATGGATGAGATGATTGTTGGAATACCTACTTTGTTGAGTATTTTCTCTGGTGATTATTTTCACATTATATATATATATACACACACACACACACACACACACACACATATATATATATTACATGGGGCTTTGTAGTAAGATTCTAATGAATGTCATAAAAATGCTAATGTGTGGTTATATCAACATTCACCTTTATGGGGAGAATTTATGATTTCTACTGTTCTTACAACTATCATTGCACACTTAACATAACCTGAAAGCTAGAAGTGTCCTTGAAAATCATCATCATTTCAGAAAAATAACAGATGCTGGTAAGGATTCAGAGAAAAGGGAACTCTCATACTCTGCGGTTGGAATGCAAATTAGTACAGACACTATGGAGAACAGTATGGAGATTTCTCAAAAACCTAAAAATAGAACTACCATACCATGCAGCAATCCCACTACTGGGCATATAACCAAAGGAAAAGAAATGATTTCAAAGGGATACATGCAGCCCCATGTTTATTGCAGCACTATTCACAACAATGTCCATTAGCAGAAGAACGGATAAAGAAAATATGGCATATTTACATAATGGAATATTTTTCAGCCATAAAAAATAATGAAATCGTGTCATTCGCAACAACACGGATGGAACTGGAGGTCACTGCATTAAGTGAAATAAGCCAAACACAAAAAGACAAATATCACATGTACTCACTGGTGTGGGAGCTAAAATAGCTGATCTCATGGAAGTACAGAGTAGAACATTAGTTACCAGAGCCTGGAAAGGATGTTGAGGGTGAGGATGAAGGTGGCTAATTAATGGGTACAAACAGCCGGGCACAGTGGCTCATGCCTATAAGCTCAGCACTTTGTGGGGTGAAGGTGAGCAGATCACTTGAGCTCAGGAGTTTGAGACCAGCCTGGGCAACATGGTGAAACCCTGTGTCTAAAAAAATACAAAAATTAGCTGGGCATGTTGGCAAGCAACTGTTCTCCCAGCTACTCAGGAGGCTGAGGCAGTGACTGAAATTGCACCACTGCACTCCATCCTGGGTGACAGAGTAAGACTCTGCCTAAAAAAGGGGGTACAAACATGCAAACATGCAGTTATACTAAGTAGAAGTGTAATCACCAAGAGGTTCTTCCTGCCTGCTGCACAGACAAAATCAATTCACTGAGACCACAGCACTGCAGTAAAGAAAGAATGTCATTGGGCCAGGCGTGGTAGCTTACATCTGTAATCCCAACACGGTGGGAGGCCAAGGCGGGTGGATCACCTGAGGTTGGGAGTTTGAGACCAGCCTGACCAACATGGAGAAACCCCACCTCTACTAAAAATACAAAATTAGCCTGGTGTGGTGGCGCATGCCTGTAATCCCAGCTACTTGGAAGGCTGAAGCAGGAGAATCACTTGAACCCAGGAGTGGTGGGGAGCGGGCTGGAGGTTGCAGTGAGCCGATATCACCAGCACTCCAGCCTGGGCAAAAAGAGTGAAACTCTGTCACAAAAAAAAAAAAAAAAAAAAAAAAAGAAAAGAAAAAGAAAGAGTGTAATTGACTAGAGGCCATCCACTTGTGAGAACTGGATTTATCACTCAAATCAGCTTCCCTGAAGGCTCAGAGGCTAGGGTTTTACGGACAATTTGGTGGGCAGGAGACTAGGGAAAGGGTGCTGCTGACTGCTTAAAGATGAAATCATAAAGGTGTGTGCTCAGTCCGCCTCTGGGTGGGGCCACAGGACCAGTTGTGTCATGAATCATGAGTCTGGGTGGGGTCAGTCTGAAAGACATCGCAAAAAAAACAATCTTAGGTTCAACAATACTGTTGTTATCTATAGGAGCAATTGGGAAGGTCATAGGACTCCTGTGCAGTAAGGGCTTATAGAAAATATACCTATGTTTTAGCAGAGTTCATGCCCCTCCCATAATGCTATTTCTGTGTCCTTTCATTAGTCTTAAAAATGCAATTTTCTGCCCCTGAGCAAGGAAGGGGTTAGTTTCAAGGAGGAATTGTTATTGTCCTTCTTTCAAGTTAAACTATAAACTAAATTCCTCCCAAAGTTAGCTTGGCCTATGCCCAGGAGTGACTAAGGACAGCTTGGAGGTCAGAAGCAAGATGGAGTCAACTATGCCAGATTTCTTTTACTCTCAAAATCTTGCAAAGGTGATTTCAGAAGGAATAAGTTACAATGTTCTGTAGCACAGCAGGGTGACTATAGCTAACAACAATGTATTATATACTTCAAAATAGCTAGAAGTGAGGACTTGAAATGTTGTCAACACACAGAATTGATAAATGCTCATGGTGATAGATATTCTAAATACCCTGACTTGATCATTACACATTCTGTGCATGTAACAAAATACCACCTGTACCTCATATTTACAAGTATTATATGTCAATAAAAAATAAAGTTATAGGCCTTCTCCCTTCAGCCCGGGCCTCCGGCCCCCGCGTTCTCCCCTCAGCCCGGCCCCCCGGGCCCCCTTCCCCACGCGTTCTCCCCTCAGCCCGGCCGCGGGGCGCTGCGCCTAAGCCACGTGGAGCCTCCTGCGCCCGGACGCCCGGCATTAGCACGTGGTCGGGGAAGTGAAAATCAATCGGAGGAGGCAGTTTTTACCCCCGGAAATAGAGGTTGACTCGAACGTCCACCACCGCGCCGTCCTCCCAGTTGCAGATAAAATATGACTGCGTTTTGTTTTATTTTTCCTGTTTCTGGCTGTTAATGTGGCTCTACTGCTAAAGGCAATACAACTCACCTTGAAAACAGCGGTCAGTCCACGCTCACCGTTGTCTACAGTGAAATGCAGCAGTTTGCGTAAGTAACACTTGAACAAAACCCAAATCGATGTTTAAAAACCTCCAGCCCTTTGGGAGGCCGAGGCGGGTGGATCAGGAGGTCAGGATATCGAGACCATCCTGACCAACATGGTGAAACTCCGTCTCTACTAAAAATGCAAAAATTTCATCCCAGCTACTCGGGAGGCTGAGGCAGGACAATCGCTTGAACCTGGGAGGAGGAGGTTGCCCTGAGCCGAGATCGCGCCACTGCACTCCAGCCTGGCTGACAGAGGGAGACTCAGTCTCAAAAAAAAAAAAAAAAAAAAAAACAGAACAAAACAAAACAACAAAAACCTCCCAAACGTTGACTTGAAGCTTTTCTGCGTATGTACCTGGGAGCAGTTCTCCATTTATTTTTTTTAAGTCTGTTTCTGAATAAGCTTCAATTCTGAGGTTTGGCAATAAGAGATAATTTTCAGTGAAGGAAATATTTATTATTCCCTGATCTCCAGTAGGCACAGTAGGGCCCCTCCATTTGAAATCCGATTTTAATAAAGCTTCCTTGGTTCCTTACCTTACAAGGCGGACTTACCAGTCAAACGGCTTCTGGCCTGTCTCTACCTTGTCTTGCTGTGTGTGGTCTCTTTGAAACTACAGAGGCACATTCTCAGGTCAGGTTTCCAGCAGCCGTTTTTTTTCCCTTGGAGATAAAAATGTTAACATTTGGGTTTTCAATAAGAAATACTTCAATAACTGAGAAATGTTGAACAGAGCCTCCTCTCTAAGCCTCTAAGTGTCAATGTCATCGAAAGCCTGGCTTCCTCACTGCATGAAACACACAGTTGAAGCAGAGGATCCTTTCTCTGGGCTACAGAAACCCACCCTTCATCACTCCCTTTACGATTTGCACAGTGCATCCCATAACCTGGATCCCCTCCCCAACCACTGATCCCATCTGGTCACTGGGGTGTGGCTCTGGGAAACAGCATGTTTAAAAACCTAATTCTCCATTTCACACCGCACCTCTTACATGGATTATTTTTGCTCCCATTATCCTTCAGCTTTCCTTTCCACAGCCCTGAAGAAGTAAACCAGAATGAATGAACTTATCTGTTGTGACATGAACTCAGCTAAAAGGAAGTTTAATTTCTCCTAAAAGAGCTAGAGAACCAATTAAACTGAAATAAAAGTGGGCTGTCTTTTGAAATTGACCACAAAGAGGGTGGTGCATAGAAACAACGTTTTGGATTGCTGGAATTTTAGTCACAGTGATTCTTCTGCCAATAGCATCATGGCCATTAAAAAAAAATTGTATTTTGAAAAAAAAATAATAATAATAATAATAAAGTTATAAAATAAAAATAAGTTAAAAATTTTTTAAATCATCTTATCAGGATTAGAAAACTAAGGCCAAAAAAGGCTAAGGCCTAAACCACCAACTTGGTGGCTGAACCAAAATGAGGACTCGACTCCTCTAACTTTTGGTGGCATGCCCTTTTCACCACACAGACACCACCATCTTCACTGGCAAACATCGAGGTCATCTGGGTGGACGGCACTTTCTGAATCTGGGCAGTGTACAAGCCGGCAGCCTTGTCCCTGTCCTTACTAGGATTTTAAATCTAAGGCAGGCAATACATACTTTTTTTTCCACTTTACTTTCTTGACAGGAAGGCAATATTATAAAATGATAAATCCAACATGGATCAAGGTAAGTAACATAAGTACAAATACTATGTAATGAACAGGCTCCTTCCGGTAGTACTTTAGGAATGCATGTTATGTATGTAGGTGAAGGTAGAAAGGTTCAGTGGGAAAGCTTTGTTTAGAGCACAGGAAGAATGAAGAATCAGTTTATTTAATTCTTACAACCCTAGAAGTCAACATTATTCCTATCTTACAGATGAGGAAACTGAGGTACAGAGAGCTGAAGAAGCTTGGAAATATCACATAACTGCTAAGAGGCAGGACCTAGACTCGTGATCCATCCTCCACAGGCTTGACCACTGTGACAACATATCTCTTTTGTGATTTGCAACCTCCCTTATTTAATTCCATTAGGAATTTTTCTTAACCATATAACCATTTGTGCACGGCATATGATTAAGTTATCATAAATTAGTTTTGTGGCAATTTAAGAGTTTTGCTCTTGTTGCTCAGGCTGGAGTGCAATGCACGATCTCAGCTCGCCACAACCTCTGCGTCCCTCCCAGGTTCAAGTGATTCTCCTGCCTCAGTCTCCCAACTGGCTGGGATTATAGACATATGCCACCATGCCTGGTTTATTTTGTATTTTTAGTAGAGACGGGGTTTCTCCATGTTCAGGCTGATCTCAAACTCCCGACCTCAGGTGACCTGCCTGCCTCAGCCTCCCAGAGTGCTGGGATTGCGTTTTTATATTATGAACCCGCACCCAGCCTGTCTGGCAACTTCACTGGGCTACAGTAATCAGTTATCCAACCAAACATTAACCTAGACATTGCTGTGGGGGTACTTCTAGATGTGATTAAACATCCACCACCAGTTGACTTCAAAGAAAAATTAACCCAAGTTATCTGGGTGGGTCTCATCCAATCAGTTAAATGCCTTGAAAGCAAATCTGGGCTGGGTGTGGTTGCTCACGCCTGTAATCCCAGCTCTTTGGGAAGCCCAGGCAGGCAGGCCACTTGAGGTCAGGAGTTCCAGATCACCTGAGGTCAGGAGTTCAAGACCAGCCTGGCCAACATGGCGAAACCCCATCTCCGCTAAATATATAAAAATTAGCTGAGTGTGGTGGCAGGCACCTGTAATCCCAGCTATTCGGGAGGGGAATATCTGATTCCTGAGGCAGGAGAATCGCTTGAATCCAGGAGGCGAAGGCTGCAGTGAGCCAAGATCACACCACTGCACTCTGGCCTAGGCGACAGAGCGAGATTCCATCTCAAAAAAAAAAAAAAAAGTTTCCTTTTTTGATTTTTTTAAGAAAAAGCAATTGCTTTGTTTTCATAATTTCCCAGTTTTGTTCATGAATAAAGAGTTTCAGACTGGTCTTTGCAACCCTTGTTTCTATATTTATACTTGAAGTTGTTGGGGAGGAAGGTCCCAGCTTCTAAAGGATTTCATTTTTTATTTTTTTTGAGACAGAGTCTCACTGTCGCCAGGCTGGAGTGCAGTGGCACAATCTTGGCTCACTGCAACCTCTGCCTTCTAGGTTCAAGCGATTCTCCTCCCTCAGCCTCCTTTTGTATTTTTTAGTAGAAACCAGGTTTCACCATGTTGGCCAGCATGGTATGGATCTTTTGACCTCGTGATCCACCCGCCTCGGCCTCCCAAACTGCTGGAATTACAGGCATAAACCACCGTGCCCAGCCTCTAAAGGATTTTAAAATTGAAAGTCCTGTATCCCAGAAACCCCTCAGCCCTGTTCATGCTATTAGCCTCCTTCTGAATAGATGGGTATAACACCAATTACATTACAGGTTTATTTTTTTCCATTTTTTTCTTTTTTTTATTAAAAAAAATTATTTGGAAACCACCGTGTTACTTTTCCGTTTCTTTTTTTGAGACAGAGTTTTGCTCCAACACCCAGGCCGGAGTGCAGTGGCACAATCTCAGCTCACTGTATCCTTCGGCTCCCCAGGTTCAAGTGATTCTCCTGCCTCAGACAGCCAAGTAGCTGAGGCATTCAACCACGCCTGGCTAATTTTTGTATTTTTAGTAGAGAGAGGGTTTTGCCACGTTGCCCAGACTGACCTCAAACCCCTGGCCTCAAGCAATCCCCCTGCCTCGGCCTCCCAGGGTGCTAGAATTACAGGTGTGAGCCACTGTGCCAGGCCACATTGCATTTTTAATACAAGATTCCTGGCAATGTCAAGCACTCAAACCTTCCAAAACTGTGGTCACTAGACACATGTGGCTACTGGGCCTTCAAATATTGGCTAGTACGACTCACAAGCTGAATTTTTTATTGTAATTTTTTCTTAAGAGATAGAGTTTCGGCAGGGCGCGGTGGCTCACGCCTATAATCCCAGCACTTTGGGAGGCGAGGCGGGTGGATCACTAGGTCAAGAGATCAGGACCATCCTGGTCAACATGGTGAAACCCCGTCTCTACTAAAAATACAAAATTTAGCTGGGCATGGTGGCGCAGCCTGTAGTCCCAGCTACTCAGGAGGCTGAGGTAGGAGAATTGCTTGAACCCAGGAGGCGGAGGTTGCGGTGAGCCGAGATCACGCCATTGCACTCCAGCCTGGGTAACAAGAGAGAAACTCCGTCTCAAAAAAAAAAAAAGAGTTAGGGTTTCACCATGTTGGCCACGCTGGTTTTGAACTCCTGACCTCAGTTGATCCACCCACCTTGGTCTCCCAAAGCGCTGGGATTACAGGCATGAGCCACCACACCTGGCCAAGACATCACATTTTTAAGATATTGTACAGTAAGTAAGGCACGTCTATCAATAATTTGATTATTGAAATAAAATTTTGAAAATACTGCACTAAAACGTTAACACTAATTTCATCAGCTTCTTCTACTTTAAAGAGAGTGGCTACTGTGAAACTTAAAATTCCGTGTGTGGCTCACATTATACTCCTAATGGGCAGGACCGACCTGGCAGGCCTGGCAAATGCTAAAAGCCACTACAATGGTGGCATATGAGCTGCGTGACAGAAACGGTAATGTTACTCCTTTGTGAAGATTAGCAATGTTTGACATCAAGTAGGTGTTCAAAACACAGGACTATCTAACGCTGAGAATCACTCCTCCCGATTAGACAGTGTCGCATTTGTTTCTCTGAGCGCCTCAAGTTCTTTTACCGACAAGGAAGGCTGGCAGAGCTCTCAAAGGGATGAAGGAATAGAGCACTTGGGGCGTGGCTAGATTGTAAGCTGAAGTTTTAGAACTGTCACTTGGGGCTCGGTCCCACGCCCAGAAAACGCAAACAGTCCCAAGTTTCCACACTGGCCACGCCAGTCCGCGACCCATTACGGCTCTCAAGGCTACGCCGACCTCGCGGCCCACACCAGCGACCTTCCCCTGAAGCGTTTCCATTTCATTCCCTCGAGTCCGCAAAGCGCCCGGTGGGTCCCAAGCGCCCGACTCAGCCGCAAAGGCGGCCGCGGGGAAACACTCTTAGAAGAGGGTAGAGGCCCAGGCGCCAGCCGCCCGGGATCCGCAGACCCGGCAGGGACTAGGGTAGGCGGCGGCGAACAGATCCTAGCCCAGACGCCGGGCCCCCACGCAAAGGCCGCAGACGGATCCACGCCCCTCGCGCATCCCGGAGCCGGGCTGATGACGAACACAGGGCGCGACGGACGCACACGCCGCCCCGCGCCCGCACGACGGTACGTGCGGGGAGGGAGTCCCGGCTTGTCACCGGCGCAACTAGCGTCCCGCCTCCTCCGCTCCCTCGCTCCCGCCACCTTGGCAAGTCCGCGCCCGCCTCCCGCCTCCGTCCGAGGCCTCCGCCGCAGTAAGGCTCCCGGCCTCGCTGCTGTCTCTTTAAATGGTGGAGCTACGGGCCGCCCCTGCAGCTGCTCCCTGGGTGGCCCCGCGCGCCGCTTTTGAGGGGCGAGCCAAAATGGCGGCGGCTTTGGCTCTGTGAGGAAGACGGAAGAGGCGGCGGCGGAGGGAAAGCGATTTCCACTAGCCCGGGGCGCTCGGCCGGCTAAGAGCCCTCGGAGTTTCCCGGGCAGCGGTAGCAGTTGCAGCAGGATCAGGCGCCTGTCGGCTTCTGACGTTTGAAGCAGGCGGAGCGGAAGGGAGCCACTGGCCGCGGTGGCAGGGCCAGGTACAAGGAAGGAAAACATGGCGGCGGCGGCGGTGGCCTGAGGAGGCGGCGGCGGCGCGGGAAGCTGCTTTGCGGAGATCATGGCGGAGGCGGGAGCAGGGCAGTGACGGGAGACTCGAATTCCTAGCTCGGCGGGGCGGGAGGCTGCGAAGCGCTGCGCGGCCCCATCGGGGCTGCCGGGCGCCGGGCTCGCCGGGTCTGGACAATAGCACCGGGGAGCCGGAGGCGAGGAAAGGCGGCGGCCCAGAGCTTGGGCCCGGGAGCGGGCCATGCAGGCGGCGGCGCGGCCCCGAGGCGCCCAGCAGCGGCAGTGAGGCCGGGGAGCCCTCCGTTCGCGGGCGCCCTCACGCCTCGCCCCTCGCCTCTCCAGGGCCCCTTCCTGGGCGTCTACCGGCGGGGCCCCCGCCCCGGTCCCCGGGCGGCACGATGACCGACACCCGGCGGCGGGTGAAGGTGTACACGCTCAACGAGGACCGGCAGTGGGACGACCGGGGCACCGGGCATGTGTCGTCCGGCTACGTGGAGCGGCTGAAGGGCATGTCCCTGCTTGTCAGGGCCGAGAGCGACGGTGAGTGAAGCCGCTCGCGGCGGGACCTTGGCAGCCCCCACAGCCCTGGGCCACTTCCCTGGTTCTTGCGGGGCCTGGCACTCGCTCCACAAGAACGGAGGGACGGCTGGAGACGGCAGCCACCTCGGGGGAGGGCGGGCCCCAGGTACCCCGGTCCTGCGGGACCTCCTGGGAGAGAGCTTGAAATGTTTCCTTTCTGAGTGCCTGGTGGCATTTGGGGTATGAGGAGGGCCGAGCGTGTTTGAGCAGGGCCGCCCTGGAGCGCGGAGAGGTCGAGGACCTGAGATAGGGGGTGTGCTGTTGTTTCGCACTAGAGTGACCTTGAGAAAGGCACTCATTAATCCGATCTTCTGCCTTAGTTCACCCATCTGTACAGCAGGCATGAAACTTTGCTTGGAGCTAAGAAAGTTCTTGGACGTTTCACTTGCTGTGCTTTTTTTCTTCCTTTTAAACATCTTTCTGCTCCATATTTCTCATCCTGCTGCAGGTTGGTAACACTACACTGGCAACTACACTAAGCAGAGAAAACACTTTACCTTGCGAAGATAGATTTTTTTTTGTTCACCGGTGTTGGTTGTCTTTTTTATAGTAATGCAGGATATTGTGTGTAGCTCACTATATAAACATCTTGCAAATTTGGAATCATTGTACATGAGCTTTTTTTTTTTGATCGCTTAAATGAGTGTTCATAATTTGGTTAACAGGTCTAGAGAAGTTGGCAGATAATTTTTAAAACCTTTCAGATCTTCCCTACTGATTATGCTTCACATATTTTGAAGCAGCCCTCAAGGTTCAAAGACTAAGGTGTTTGAAAATAAGTGTTTCACATTTTTTCTTTTCTTTTTTCCACATGTTCTGAGTGTTTCATATTTTAAAAACACTTTTTCTCTCTAGGAATTGCCACAGTTTTTGGTGATATGCAGTGAATTTCACTTAAAATGCTCACGCGGGGTAAAACTTTTAGTCATATTGTTGCTTCCAAACGTGAAAGTAGTTCTCTCCCACCTATCTTGGTGCATTGGTTTATATTTTATAGTTGCTGACGATGTCGGTTTAGTATGATTGTGGTGATTTCGTATCAGAATTATTAACAAACTAATTTCAGGGAATTTTTTTAAATTGGACTCTGCCCAGAACTCCAATTCCATGAAAAATCAAGACCCACCCTGGGAACATTTGTGTTGGGTTTAAATTGAAGGTGGTAATCTGGAGTATATTACCCACAGATTATAAGGTTACCCAAAATAACTTAAAACTGGAGAGAAATTATTTCCTTTTGGGGGCATTTAAAAATTTTTGAATATGTTAAGTATGTTTTTCTGAGCCTGAGTTATTACTGGCTTCTTAAAATACAATTTGAATGTCAAGTGTTCATGTGGGTTTGTGACTCACATAGTAACCTACTCTAGATCTTTCACGCATTTTGAAAACTTTACAAGTATGTTGGAAGGTATGGGCTTTTTGTATCAGCTTCTCTTGAGATGAAAGCATTAAGATTTTTTTTTCTTTTTTTTGAGATGGAGTCTTGCTGTGTCGCCCAGGCGAGAGTGCAGTGGTACCATGGATCTGCAACCTGAACCTCCAGGGTTCAAGCGATTCTCATGCCTCAGCCTCCCGAGTAGCTGGGATTACAGGCATGCACCACCACGCCTGGCTAATTTTGTATTTCTAGTAGAGACAGGGTTTCACCATGTTGATCAGGCTGGTCTTGAACTCTTGACCTCGTGATCTGCCCACCTTGGCCTCCCAAAGTACTGGCATTACAGGCATGAGCCACCGCGCCCAGCCGGTATTTTTAAGGATAAAAGCTTAATGTCATATTATCAGAATTATGCTCTTCTGCCATGTTAATATAAAAATCTGTTTCTTTTTTCTGTGTGTGTGTGTGTGTGTGTGTGTGTGTGTGTGTATTTTTTTTTAAAGATGGAGTTTTGCTCTTGTCGCCCAGGCTGGAGTGCAGTGGCACGATCTTGGCTCACTGAAACCTCCACCTCCTGGTTTCAAGCAATTATCCTACCTCAGCCACCTCAGCCTCCTCAGGACTGGGACTACAGGCATGTGCCACTACGCCTGGCTAATTTTTTTGTATTTTTAGTAGAGACAGAGTCACCATTTTGGCAACTCTGGTCTCAAACTCCTCACCTCAGGTGATCCACCTGCCTCCTCCTCTCAAAGTGCTAGGATTACAGATATGAACCCTGTGCCCCTACCTCCATTTATATTTTTACCATTTTAGAAATAGCCCCAAATCTCTCTTCCTCCATTTCATAGGTTGGAGGTTAAATGACTAAAACAAAATTACTTAGTTTTTATCTAGCAAGGAGAGAACTTAACTAAATTACTGTAAATACAGGTTGTAAGGAAAACTGAAACCAAAGAATGGACTTAGGCTGGGTGTGGTGGCTCACCCCTATAATCCCAGCACTTTGGAAGGCTGAGGCAGACTATTTCTTGGGGTCAGGAGTTTGAGACCAGCCTGGGCAGCATGGCAAATCCCCGTCTCTACAAAACATACAAACATTAGCTGGTGTGGCATGGGCCTGTAGTCCCAGCTGCTCTGGAGGCTGAGGTGGGAGGATCACTGGAGCCCAGGAGATGGAGGCTACAGTGAGCTGTGATCATGCCACAGCACTGGGTGACAGATGACAGGGAGACCCTGTGTCACACACACAGTGGACTTAGAAGAAATTCCAAGTACTTGTGAAGTACTGTCATTAATGTGTAGTTTCATGATTAACATTTCTTCTGATGTCTAAATAGGGATAATAATAAGTCACAATTTACTGAGTGCCTGCTATGTGCCAGAAAGTCTTTAAGCAGTTCTTAAATTGACTTATGTAATTCTCACAGCAATGCTCTGATTTAGTTAGTGCTATTAGCCGTATTAAACTCCCATATTACTGTCTACTTGCATTTGCTGCTTTATTCTTAGCCTGAAGGTTTATTTCAAAGAAAATGAAAATAACTTTTAGTCTAAAGATATTTTCAACTGTAGTTTATCTACAAGCTTTACGTGAATGTTTTTGTGTTGACTGCTAGTTTGGGTCAGCCATTATTGTGTGCTTGCTCCATTCTCCATCATAGGATAATTGACATTTTCTTTTTATTGTCATGAGCAAAATGGAAAGTATTTCTGATTTTCCATAATTTGAGTCATTCGTCCAACAGAAACTTAAAATTTTGAGCTTTTCCGTACTTGAGCTAGATCTAGTCATTATTGTGTTGAAGCTTTTCTTTTTTTAACTTACTTGTAGCTTCCCCCCCCCAAATTCTTTTGATTTTTAGATTATTTCTTTAAAACAATATTTGATTCTTAACACTTTTGAAATATTTTGTGGTCCATAAAATTAATAAGCTTTTATGATGTGTTAATCATCCACCTTTGAAATAGGCTATTTCCCAGTTCAGCTAATTTGGTGAGAAACTGACCAGTGCTAGGTAGGATGATAGGAGCTTTTGCATACCCTGAAGTAGGTGGTGGTATCTTTTTTGGGGCGGGGTGGGGGGAACAAAATCTCTGTCACCCGGGCTGGAGTGCAGTGGCATGATCTCAGCTTATTGCAACCTCCACCTGCTGGGTTCAAGCGATTCTTGTGCTTCAAGCTTCAGGCCTGAGATTATAGGTGCATGCCACCATGTGTTGCTGATTTTTGTATTTTTAGTATAGATGGGGTTTCACCATGTTGGCCAGGCTGGTGTCGAATTCCTGACCTCAGATGATCCTCCCCACTCAGTCTCCCAAAGTGCTAGGATTACAGGCGTGAGCCACCACACTCAGCCTCATTTTTTCAAATAGAATCTCTCATAAAAGATGACAACATATCCAAAGTCATTTATCTACTAAGATGGTATGAGTTTGGATTCAAATTCAGGCAATTCATTTTAAACTGTACACACTACTTAGTAATTACAGAGTATTTAGGAATTTTATAATGTGTGTAGATAGGCTGGTTAGTTTTAAATTTTTCTCTATTTGGTCTGTCTTTGAGGAAAGGGAAGCTATAATGTTATCTCAACTGAAGGTTCAGTTTTTATTAGGGGAGCTTATATGCTCATTCAAGAATCACAGAAGGGAATTTCTAAATGGAAGTACTTGTGGCCTTCATGTTACAGGGCTGTCTGGGTAAGTACTGTATGCCCTTTCCTTCCAAAACTGAGTAAGTTGGCACTCATCATACCTTGCTATAGAAGAAAGGGATGTCCCACTGAGCTTCTGGGCCCATTTCTTGGCTTGCATCCTTATCCATAGCAGAAATAGGTTTCTGCTGGCAAAATAGGTTGTAAGAACATGTCCTTTTAGTTTTTGTTTTTTTCTTTTTTTTATTTAATTTTAATTTTTAAATTTTTGAGATGGAGTCTCACTCTGTAGCTCAGGCTGGAGTGCAGTGGTGCAATCTCAGTTCACTGCAGCCTCTGCCTCCTGGGTTCAAGTATTTCTCCTGCCTCATCTTCCCAAGTACCGGGGATCACAGGCGTGCACCACCATACCCAACTAATTTTTGTATTTTTAGTAGAGACAGGGTTTCACCATGTTGACCAGGCTTGTCTCGAACTCTTGGCCTCAAGTGATCGGCCCACCTCAGCCTCCCAAAATGCTGGGATTATAGGCATGAGCCACCAAGCCTGGCCTCGTTTTTACTTTTTACTTTATTTTTTCCAGGCAGGGTCTTGCTCAATCCCCCAGGCTCAAGTGACCCTCTCAC